TGGTCCATCAGACAGAGCTTTCCTGGGAGGGTGACCTTTATAGTCCCGGTGCCTCTCTGGCCCCAGGTCCTCACCTGCCACATGGGTGAGGGCAGGTATGCCCCCTTGGTCCCTGGGAGTCAGTGTTGGCCAGAGGGAAATCCAAGTGAGTGACAGATGGACTAGAGCTGTAGGCCCACTGGGCCCCACAGTGCCCTCTTCTCCCCAACCACAGCCGAGATGGAGCGTGGGCTGCGGTGCCAAGGGGCATCCAGGGCTTAGCTGGGTGCTGCAGTTAGTTATTCCTCCCTCCAGATAAGGACCCCCCGCTGCCCCAGGAGCTCGTGAAATGCAGGTGCCTGGGCCACCACCAACTCCAGATGCTGAACCGCTGGAAACAGGGCCTGGGCATGAGTAGTTATAGAAAGGAGGCAGCGGGGTACGGAGCATGGTAGTCTCTGATCCACCCTAACCCGCCCATGGAAGGCAATGTGTAGGGGTGGCTGGAGCATGGGCTCTGGGATAGGAAGGAAGTGGTCCTCAGGGCAGGAGTAAACACTGGCTGCGGAAATGTCCACAGGTTCCCCTCTCCCCCAAAGGAAAGCCAGACACCAGGCCTCCAGGGAGCAGGGTTTTATTTGTATTCCCTAGGACAGGGCTGGGGAGGGAGCCAGGGAGGGCCCACAGTCAAGGACACGGCCAGGATCACATCCTGGGGACCCCGGCCCCCTGCTCCACCCCAGGGCCCAGCAGGAGTTGAAAGGTGGTACTGCAGCTCTGGGCGAAGGTCGGCATCTACTCCACTCCCTTCATAAACTCCAGGAATTCTGTGGAGAGAAGGCAGGTGTGGGTCAGAGGTGGGGGCCGCAGGGCGTGGGCAGCGGGAGATCCAGTGCACCACCCCTCACCATCATAGTCGATGCGGCCATCGTTGTTCTTGTCGCCGTCCTTCATGAGCTCCTCGATGTCGTCCTCTGTGATGGTCTCGCCAGTAGCCTGAAGCATCACCTTCAGCTCGTCCAGGTCAATGTAGCCATCAGCGTTTCTGCAGGGAGTGGGGGCAAGGGAGGTCTCAGGGCCTCTCGTGGGGGCCAAGGAGGGGAAGAGGCAGCCCCACCCACGACCCAGGGAGGGAGGCAGGCAGAGCAGGGCCGCTGGGAGATGAGGCACCCCATTCCCTCATTGCACAGAATGGGAGACTGAGGCCTGGACGTCATAACACTGTCCCTTTCCCCAGCTCTATCAGCGTTGCGGTCAGAGGTCAAGGGTCACACACTTACTTGTCAAACATGCGAAAGAGATCAGATAGCTCCTCCTCAGACTTCCCTTTACTGTCATCCTTCATGCACCGAACCATCATGACCAGGAACTCCTCGAAGTCTACTGTGCCACTTCCTGAGGGGTGGAGGGCATGGCCATCAGAGAGGAACAGTCAGAACGGCTGGTACAGCCCTTGACCCTAGACCCCGGTGTTCTCACTGCATCCACCCATCAACTCCGTGAGGAGAGTGGTCATTATACCCATTTTATATAGGAGATGACTGAGGCTCAGAGGCTAAACAGCTCCTTCAAGAGCACAGAGTAGTAAGTGGCAGAGCCAGGATTTGGATCCCCAGTGGCCTGCGGAGCTATGGGTCGGGGGCCTGGCGGGGCAGAGGGGCTTACCATCCTCGTCCACCTCATCAATCATCTCCTGCAGCTCCTCCGGGGTGGGGTTCTGGCCCAGCATCCTCATCACCTTGCCCAGTTCCTTGGTGCTGATGCAGCCGTCCTCAGCGCCCAGCACGAAGATGTCAAAGGCTGCTTTGAACTCTGTGTCCGATGCGGGACGGGGAGTAGAATGGCCAGGGCTCAGCAGCCAGGACCCCAGATGGCCAGACCCCTGGGGTCACTTACCAACCTGCCCGCTCCCCTCTGAGACCTCTGAGGTCACAGCAAGAGAGACTCCAGCATCTGGTTTCCAGCCTGGGGTCCTCATGCTCCCCAAGCCCGGCCCTGTTGCCCCCCTATATGTATGTTGGGGAACTCACCATTTTTCTGCTCTTCTGTCAGCTGCTCTACCTAGAGAGGAAAAGAGGTCTCAGGATACAGGCTCAGGCTCTAGCTGCTGTTGAGGAAACCAACCCATTTCACAGGTAGGACAAGTGAAGCCAGGAGAGGCAGGCCATTTCCAGGTCACTGAGACCTCAGTCCTTCCTTTCTGCCCCCAAAGCCCTTTGGTGACCCAGCTGGCCTCACTGAGGGTGGGCTCAGGGCCAGGGCAGCAGGTGGGCACCCCCTCCAGGACCAAGGTGACCCTGAGTAACAATAGTCAGTGACCACTCAATGCCCTATCAGCCTCCCTGCTGAAACCTAAGCTGGGTGGCCCCAGGGACAGCTGTCCCTCAGGTTGGGACAATAACACCAGTGTGGGGGCAGGTAAAGCCACTCACTGTAACCTGACCAGAGTGGCCACTGGGCTATTTTTAACGGGGGACAAACTTAAACCTGGTGATTGTTCTGGGGACTCTGGCATGCAAGGGGGTGGGGCAGCGTTATCTGGCCCCCTGGCCTGCTGGTGCCTCAGGAGCCAAAATTAGTCCCCAGCCCCGCCAGGCCTTGTATGGGCACGGGCAGAGGGCTGCTCCCCCCAGCTCCATGGACTCCTGTGGGCGAGGCAGGGGCACCCCGAGCCAGCTGTAGCCCTTCCCTGCCCAGCAGTAGCCCTTCCCTGCCCAGCAGTGGGGCCACAATCCTGGGGCTGAGAAGGATTCCTTTGGAGACAGTTGCCTGTGTCAGATGTCCTTGTCTCTGGGGCATGGGGAGGTCAGCAAACTAACCCTCGCACCGAGATGGAATAGCATCTGAAGCCCCTCAGTGACCACAGAACCTTTCAGGGACTGGGGTGACCACTCTCCAGCCCTAACCCCAGGCTAAGCCACTGAGCCCTGAGCCTGCCAGGCCAGATGGGAGCTTCGGCTTCTGTTCCTTCTTCCCGGCTCTCCCCGGTGCCCAGTCCTTCCCTGCCTGTCCCAAACTTTAAAGCCCCTTCCCCAGCTCAGGATTTGGCTATGCAGCCCCCTCCTCACAACCCCTATGACCCCCTCCACCGCATCTTCAGCCAGCCCAGGGGGTCATGAGAGTGTGAGACGCAGAATTGAGGGACAGAAATGGGTGTCTCTGGGCCATCAGAGACAGCTCAGAACAAAAAGATGGACAGATGCTGAGAAAGACAAAGATCTAGACACAAATGCAGAAAGGCATGGCCGAGAGACAGGGACACAGACTACAGACACTTGGAGACAGAGGCAAACATGGTGCTGAACGGTGCGAACTCCTCCTCCACCCACTCTCCAATCCCTGAATCCCTCACCCCTTGCACACCCTAGAACACCAGACCCAGCATCCCCTTGAGGGTCTGGGCTGAAAGCATGTAGGTCTTCTCCTGGGTCCCCACCATTTCCCTGGGATGACCTTGTTCCCCCACCCTGAGCGGAGTGGCTCCCCAGCGGGCCCACCCATCCCAGTCCCTCACCGCAGCCTTGTAGATGTCATCCATGCTGTCGGCTCAGAGGGCAGGCTGCTGGGGTTGCCAGGAGGCCCCGAGCTTAAATAGCCCTGCCCCGCTGCATTCCGGGCCCAGCCCACCCCTGCGAGTAGCATCCTCCCCCCCCTCCCCCAGCCCTGGTGATCTCAGGCTGGCCTGAGTCCCCGTGTCCTCTGTCCAAGGCAGGAAGATGAAGGGCTGTAAAGACCAGGTCTCCTACCCTTTGTTCCCCAGGGGACTCTCTGGAAAGTTTTCTTGAATGAATGAAAACATGAGCCTAGGACAGGACAGGAACTACAAAGCAGTGGGGCCCAGGCCAGGCCTCTATACACAGCAGCTCAACCACTCCTCCCATCAGGGAGATGGATGATATTACTCCCGCCTTTCAGATAAGGAAACTGAGGCTCCTCGAGGGGTGATGACTTGCCCCAAGGCTGGCTGACTGGGCAGCCCCTGCCTCAGCTTAACTTCTCTGCAGTAGGGGCAGCCGTGTGCAAGGACAGGCCTGGGAGGGAGTACGGGGCCCTGCTGCAGGGAGCCTCCAACGCTAAGCTCAGAGTCCTGTGCTGTGGACCCACCTAAGGGCAGAGTAGTCGGGAGCCCTTCAGCCAGTGGAGCCAGAGGAGCCACCCCAGACCTCTTCTCTCATCCGAGCAGCGCTAGCTCTGGGCTTGGTCCGCTGCAGTCATCCAACAAACACACCTACAGATGCCCCATCTGTGCCAGACGCCCCCCCCCAACCCCACCCCCCACCCCGTCCTTCTCCCTGGGGTACCACCGCCTCCTTCTTCTAGGTCTGAGCCGTGTCCTGGGTCGGAGCTCTGTCTTTATGCCTGTGCTTCCCGTTCCAGCGCTGTGGCTCCTGGGTCCGGGGCCAGGCGGCCGCCCTTTTCAGCTCCGGCAGGACACCTCTGGGGAGTCTCGTGCCCCATGGACAGCACATATGCCTGCTCTCCGTCTTCACTCCCCCTCCCCATGCTGAGTTCCCATAATCGCACCTGCTCCCCGCCCTGCAAGTGGGGGCACTGCTTGAATTAACCCTCTCAATTCTCCAGTAGCCCATGTGACAGAGGACATGGAGTCTTGAGGAGGTGAACCGGCCCCCCAGTTAATGTTTGGGCTCTAAGCACGACTCTCCTCTCCGCTCCGTGCCCTACAGGTGGGGGGCGATTACTTCTTCCCTTTTTCGGAGGGAGAAACTGCGGCCAGGCCACGCAGTACTTGCGTCGGGGAGCCAGGAACGTGCTAGGCCTTCTGTCCTCCTGGGCATCAAACCGTATTGCCCAGAGCTACCCGCCCCGGGCGCCAGCTTCTCCCTGGCTGCGAGGGGCGCAAAGCAGGTACCCACGGCGCAGGCGGAAAGGCCCGCGCGGCCTGCGCACGCGCGCTAGGAGCGGTTGCTGTCAATCACGCGCGAGGGGCGGGGCGAAGGCCTGAGGAGGCGGCGGGCCCGAGATGGCCGCGCAGCGCGCGGCGGGAGAGGGGGCGGGCGCGGGGGGCCGAGGGGGCCGCGGGGCGGTGGGACGCTGACCCCGCCCCCTGCTGCCGCCTGTCTGCGCCCGGCCGCCGCGGAGCCCGAAACATGGCGGCCGCGACGCGCAGCTTCGGGCCCGAGCGGGAGGCCGAGCCGGCCAAGGAGGCGCGCGTCGTGGGCTCTGAGCTCGTGGACACGTACACGGTGCGCTGGGGCGCGGGCGCTGAGCCGGGAGTGGCGGCCGGAGTCCGTGGCCCGGGGCCCGGGGGCTGGGGAGGAGCTCTGGGCCCCGCGACCAGGGGAGAATGGGTGGGGGCCACGATGTGGAGGAGGGGCTGGGATGGAGGGACCTGGGGAGGGGCCCCCAGGAGGGGTCTGAGGAGGGGCGCGTGCGGGAGGGGAGGCTCGGTTTGGGGAGGCTCTGGGGGTAAAGGGAGGGAGAGCGGGGGGACCGGGGTCTAGATGAGGCAGCGGCGTCTCTAGAGCCTCAGGCCTGGAGGGGCGCCATCCCAGGGGGATAGGCTAGGGGGTTCGGGAGGGGGGTCAGGGGTGGAATTGGGGACCCTGCAGGTCCTGAAGGAGCGGGGCGGGGCCTTGGCCTGGGGAGCCAGGGGTCGCAGTTGGGATTTGCTCTCAGGTGAGGACGGGTTGCGTTCGGGGCCCCAAGGTCCTGGGGGTCTGGCAGGGACGAGAAAGGGGGAGGGCTGGGACCCGGACACGGGGGATTGAGGGGTCGCTCAGGGCTGAAAACGCGAGACCCAGGAACCTTAGGGTCTTCATAGCCTTGGGGGCAAGTTGGGCTGCAAGCCCCGACCCCACCCCCAACCTCCACCCCCTCGCGCGCGCACACACACTCCGAGGCTGTGGGAGAGACGGGCGATAGGAAATGGGGGAGTCCCCGACTGTGATGGAGTTGGAGGTCCTCCTGGGAGGCTGCCGGGGTGGGGGTGACGGGGCACCTCCCCGCCTCCTGTCCTTTGTTCCCACAGGGTGGGGGGCTCCGGCCCGGCCTCGGTCCCATCCCCTTGGCCTCCATCCTAGCCCGCCTCCTGAGGGCCATTCCTCTGGCTCTTTCTGCCTTTTTGGGCGGAAGGGAGGGGAGGGATGCTGCCAGGCTGGGAAGAGGGGCAGCGGGCGGATCCTGGAGCAACAGGCCGGCCCTGGAGAAATGGCTTCTCCTCTATGGAGGCTTCGCTGAGCTGATGATTTTCTCCTCCCCCTTCCCCGCTTGCTGCAGAGAGGGGCGGGGCACTAGGGGTCCTCCTCTGGGTGCGGGTGAGGTCTCCAAGCCAATGGCTGGCCGGCCATCACCCTTGGGCTGCGCCCCAAAAAGCTCTCTATTCAACCCGGGCCGAGCCCCTCCTTTGAATGGGTGTGGGCAAGGTGGGTGATCGGGCCTAGCCTACCATTTTGTCTCCAGGTGTGCTGAGTTGATTATTAATATACCTACCTTTTCGCCGAAACCGGTTTGGCTCAGTGGATAGAATGTCGGCCTGCGGACTGAAAGGTCCCGGGTTCGATTCCGGTCAAGGGCATGTACCTGGGTTGCGGGCACATCCCCAGTAGGAGATGTGCAGGAGGCAGCTGATCGATGTTTCTCTTTCATTGAACACTTGCTGCAAAGCATTTTCATGCATTACCTTGCATTATTTGACTACCTTATTTGATCCTTAAACCTATCAGATTTTAAGATGGAGGAACAGAGGCTCAGTGAAAATTCAGCTCGCAGTCACTTATGTACGTGACTCATACATAAGCCACAGCCAGGGAATGGCAGAGCACGTTTTGAACCCACGTCTTCCTTGACTCCAAGGCCCAGTCCCCTAACCGCTAAGCCATTTTGCCTTCTGTTATGGCTTAATAATTCATCACCACTCTTTTACCCGCCCCCATCCCCATCAGCTTCTTAGTGCCTTGACTCTTGATTCAGCAGCAGCAGTCACAGCTGTTAACCAGCTAAAAAGATTGGAAACAGGCTTGCTTCCAGGATATAGGCAGGGCACCTGGGAAAAAATGCAGTAGGAAAGCTGGCCCTGCCAGACCTGGTGTTGTTCTGCCTCGGAACGGGTGGCTTTACCTGAAGCTCCGGTTGGATTGGGCTTTGAATTAGCTGGAGAATGGAGGCAAAAAACTAAAGAGATGGCTTGATACGATAGTCTCCTCTGTTCCTCACTGTTGGGTAGAGCCACAGACTTACCCCGAGTGCCTGACAGATCGTGCTGGGACCATGAAGGAGGCTGAGGCTAGAGGGGGGCCCTGCTTCGCAGCAAGAGTCAGGTGCAGCCTAGCTTTGGCTGCAGGGGTGGGGGGTGTTGAGGGTCTGGGTGACCCGAAGCTATTGCTGGGGGTGAGGCGGGGCTCTGCTGTCACTGACCAGGAAGGGCTGCCTGCTTTCCCTTTTAGGTTTACATCATTCAGATCACCGATGGCAACCATGAATGGACAGTCAAGCACCGCTACAGCGACTTCCATGACCTCCATGAAAAGGTAATGAGAGCTAGGGGACCTGTGTCTCAGAGCTTGGGGACTTTAGGCCACGTTTCCATTGTGCCACAGATTCGTTTTAGGGCAAAACAGACTCCATGCCTATAGTGTTCTTTAATAAGCAAGTTTACTAATTTAATTGCCAAAACAGCTGGTGGCTCCTGGGAGTTCAACCCTAGCATAAGGCAGTGTGTGAGGAGCATATTTGAACTTTAGTTTTAAGGTAGCCAGTCCTAGCTTAGATGTGAGATGCCGGGACAGTTTCTTGGGAGAGGGAATAGGTTTTAACTTGCTTGACCTGACTATAGCTATTCCATAACCTATACTTTAAAACTGGCTGTGACTCCATGTCTTCCTTTGCTTTTGGGAAGAGATGCCTTTCTCTGGGTCATCTGTAGTCTGAGGGTTTTAAAGACAGGCCACCACCCTGATTGTTTTCATTCTTGTTTGGAGAAAATGGTGATTTTAAGGGTCTGGAGGTCTCCTTTTCTAAATGTCTCCAAATGGAGCTTCCTGTTTGGGATTATGCTGGCGTTTCTCATGTTCACAAGCTTGATGCGGCCAAGCCCAGGTGCCCTGCTTTGATCACTAATCATGGCACAGCTGCCACGAGGGGCTGTGGAAGTCAAGACAAGCATCTGCCTTCAGGCTGCTAGCCTCGATCTTGCAAAGACCAGAACCTCTTGGTCTGTGGTTGACATGCTTATGTTTTTTTACAGCTTGTTGCAGAAAAGAAGATTGATAAAAATCTGCTTCCACCCAAAAAGATAATTGGGAAAAACTCAAGAAGCTTGGTGGAAAAGAGGGAGAAGGATTTGGAGGTCTACCTCCAGACACTCCTGGCCACCTTCCCCGGCGTGGCCCCCAGAGTGCTGGCTCACTTCTTGCATTTTCAGTTCTATGTAAGTTCCTCTCAGGTTTTCTCTTTCCCCTGCAAGCCCACAACCACCTGAGCTCAAGGCAGCACACCTCAGCTTTGAAGAAAGGTGGGCTGGAGTTTGATCCTGAGGTTAGAAGACGGAGGACCAGCACCCTGGCGGGGATGGGGTGTGGGTAGAGCTTGTTTGTGGGCAGACTTACCTTACATTAGACAGACTATGCCTACAGAGGGACTGTCCTGCACCACAGGCACCTTGGTTAGCAAACGTGGGTGTTTAAGCCAGGTTTCCATCCGAATGGATTGGGGGTAGGTTAGAAACAGCTAACACCTGGCATAGACCATAGTGTTGAGTTGTTGGCTCACAGTCAAGACTCATTAAGGCATAGTTTGTGCTGGTAGCATTGCCGTCTGGAGGCATTGTCAGGTACGGCGTGAGTGAGGGAAGCTGGCTTCCTCTGTATGTTGGGGAGCAGCTCTGCACCCCCTTCTGTGTGGAGGAACAGCTTTCATGGCCACTGGTGACAAGATGAGCTTTAAGGAGGGAAGTTTGGCAGTGAAACCGAAACATTAAAAGCACTAACAATTCCACTTTTTATTTTTTATTGATTTGAGAGGGAGGGAGAGAGAGCGAGAGAAACACCCATCTGTTGCTTCACTTATTTATGCATTGCATTGGTTGATTCTTGTATGTGCCCTGACTGGGGATTGAACCCAAAACCTTGATGTATCAAGACACCATTCTAACCAACTGAGCTACTGGCCAGAGCACAATTCCACTTCTTAGAATTTATTCTAAGGAAAAAAATTAGGAAACTTTGGAAAGGACTTAGGGACAAAGGTAGTCATTCCAGGATTATAGCAAGATACTGAACACAAAAGTCCCACAGGAGGTGATTTTTTTTTTTAATCTAGAGCACAACCAGATAATTGGATATTCTGCTAGAAAAATGATGGTGTAGCTATGGATTTATTGACATAGGAAAATAAGTGTATTACTATAGGAAAAGAGCAGGCTATAAAACAGTGTGTAGAGTATGGTCCCATTTTATTAAAGAGTTTTGTGAATATATTTGTCTAGGAAAACTAGAAGTTATACACCAAAATAATAATATTAGTTATCTCTGGGTGATAGATTTTTGAAAAATTTACATTTAATTGTTTTCCGTTTTTGTGCTAAAGATAGGAAAGAATCCATTCCCTTTTCAGGCTCACCTTTTAAGAAGGGACTTGAGCTGTTGTCTTAAAGGCCCAAACATGTTTAAAAAGCAATTTTTCCGGAAGTATTTTCAGAGTAAGATGGCTGAACCTTTCTTGAGTGCTAGATTGAGCCTGGACATTCGGTCATAGCACTAGTGTTGGGCCACTAAGCTTGAAGGGGCCATGTGGAAAAGGATGGCACTTACAGATGGGAGATGCATTTATGCTTGAATTTTGTTTAGCATAGACCAGCAATATATGTGGTTAGCAGTTTCCTCGTGTAGATATCTTCTTACATTTTCTTATGTGAGAAAAAGTTTATGGCTCTTTCAGACAAACCTTACTGGTTAGTATTTTAAGAAATACTGCACTTTGTGGAAGCTTTGATGAGCTAGTGAAGGATAGGACTTGTTAGCAGCCCTTTGGAAGTGTGATTCATTGCTTAAGACCTGGGTCTTTGAGGAGGTAGTCTCCTGGCTGCCCAGGTTTTCTCACCTCTGAGCACGGAAAGGCCTTCACTACTCTTCGGAGATGTGTTTGCCTGAGATGAGCTGGGTTCGGCCCACATGTGTGGTTCTGGTTTGAGTCGGGCTCTACTGCTTGGAGCAGTATGGACATACTTAAAATTACTGTTACCAGACAGGCCCCTGGGTTATAATTCCAAGGTGTTAAAAGGTACATAATTGACCATTCAATTACATAAGGGTTTCTCAACCTTTCTCAACATTTAGAGCTGGATAATTGTTGTGGGGGCTGTTTGTGCACTTTTTAGCAGCACCTCTGGCCTCTACCCACTAGCTGCCAGTAGCACCTCTCCCGCTCACTTAATCACAACCACAAAGTGTCTGCAGACTTTGCCAGATATCCCCCTGAGGGGCAAAATTGCAGCTAATCTAGAACCACTGGATTCTATCTTCAAATGAGTTTGAACAAAGAGGGCCTAAAGATTTGTCAGCCTTTTCTACTGTCTGGGAGCTCTTAAGAATGTTTCTCTCAACCTCTGTCCCATTTGTGTCCTCTCTGAAATTGTTCCCAGCATGCTCCACCTCGGGGGACTGACATTGAACAGGGTGGGCCCAGGGAACCCTATTTGGCTGAGGTGTAGATTTTTTTAAAATTGAGATATAATTGCCGAAACCGGTTTGGCTCAGTGGATAGAGCGTTGGCTTGCGGACTGAAAGGTCCCAGGTTCGATTCCGGTCAAGGGCATGTACCTGGGTTGCGGGCACATCCCCAGTAGGAGATGTGCAGGAGGCAGCTGATCGATGTTTCTCTCTCATCGATGTTTCTGGCTCTCTGTCTCTCTTCCTTCCTCTCTGTAAGAGATCAATAAAATATATTTAAAAAAAAAATTGAGATATAATTCACATACCAAAAAAATGCACTCTTTAAGTGTACAGTTCCTGATTTTTAGTATACTCACAAAGTTGTGCATCTATTACCGCTACTAATTCTAGAACATTCATCACCCCAAAATGGAGTTCTGTACCCATCAGCAAAGTCATTTCCCATCCTGCCCTGCCCTAGCCATCGCTACTTCTGTCTCCGTGGTTTCACATGGCCTTTGTGATGGGCTTCTTTCACTTGGCGTAATGTTTCCAGATTGTAGCGTAAGGTCCTTTCATATTGTAGCAGAAATCAGTACTTTGGTATTTTCATGGGCTGAATAGTTTATTGTTGGGCTGTATCACATTTTGTTTATGCATCAGTTGATAAACATTTGGATGTTTCCATTTTTGGACTATTATGAATGCTGCTGCTATGAACATTCATATAGAAATTTTTGTGTGGACATGTTTTGTTTCCGTTGAGTATGTAGTGAAAGTGGAATTATTGGGTCATATGATAACTGTTTAACTTTTAGAGCAGCTGCCTAATTTTTTTCCAGAGCAGCTGCACCATTTGACATTCTCACCGGCAGTGTGTATGTTCTTATCTCCCCACATCTTGCCAACACTTGTCACTGTTAATTTTTTTGATAGCGGTAGCTCATTATGGTTTTGATTTATGTTTCCCTAATGTTGAGCCTCTTTTCATATGCTTATTGGTTATTTGCATATCATTGGAGAAAATACTCAAAACTTTTGCACTTCTAAAAATTAGGTTATTTGTCTTTTTTTGTTGTTGAGCTGTAGTTTTTTTGTATATTTTGGATATTAGACCCTTATTAGAAATGTGATATGCAGATATTTTCTTCCATTGTATGGATTGTCTTCATTTTCTTGATAGTGTACTTTGAAACACACAAGTTTTAGATTATGGTGAAGTTCATTTTTACTGTCAGTATCTTGCCTAACCCAAGTTACAAAGATTTACAGCTATGCTTTCTTCTATGAATTTTATAATTTTTGCTCTTATGTTTAGGTCTTTGATCCATTTTGTGTTGTCCATGGTGTGAGGTAGGAGTCCAACTTCTTTCTTTTGCAGCATGGATTTTAATGGCAAGGAAGAGAGCATTGCTTCTTTCCCACCAACTCTGACATGGGGCATCTGCAGGTTGGTGCAGCCCTGAGTTGCAGTGAGAGGGCACTGGGCCTATTGTTGTGCTGGCTCTCTTCAGATAGTTGTGCCCCATACCTGGACCTTTAATGACAGACCTCATCCCAGGACCCTAGAGCAGAGGTTTTCAAATTCAATGAAGTGGAATCCCCCAGTAGAATTCCAGCACCCCACTTTGGGGTAGGCTGTGTAACTGTGGACTTGAGAGGTAGGCAGAGCCAAGTTATCTCAGCCTAGTTGCTTCCAACTCAGGCATCTAACCTCTCTGTGTCCCAGTTCCTCTTGTGTGAGCTGGAGAGTGGTGGCCCTGGTTCTTGAGGATTGTAGGGGATGATGCAGTGAAGGTAGAGAGCCTGAAAGAGCAATGGCCCCTGGCCGGGCACACCAGGTGCCAGCCAGTACCAGCTGTCCTGGTAAGGAAAGGCCCTCAGTTGTCTTCAAAGGTGGCATTTATATCATTTTCTTATTTTAAAGCCAGTTGGTTAGAACAAAGACACTTTTTGAAATTTGAAATCAGGAGCTGTGATGGAACTGTTACCATCTTTACATCAGCCTTAGCATTCCCATCCATCATTTGTTTTAGTTGCAAAGTACTGAGCCTGTACATGATAACAGATTTCTTTGCAACTCACAGTCTTGGAGCTCTGTTCAGTTAAAGTTTAGGCTTGAATTCCTCAATGGGGAATTTTTACTTAGAGTTGAATGGCACGTAGTATAGCTGTTCCTGCTATAATGCCTCTTCACAGACATGAAGTGAAAGTTATACAGGGACACACACATGAGCATGTGTGTGTAAACCATACAATGATGTGTAACTGAGCCCCTCATTAATACCCCATTGAGCGTTTTGCTCAAGCATGTGCCAAGCAGAGGCATCAGGCTGTCCTGGGATTGTGCATTAAGTGCAGGTGTATGTGTTGTGGGGTGCAGTTGGTCATGGGTCTCCACATACGCAGACACACTCAGTCAGAATGGTAGTTGCAGAGCCACAGCCCAACTAGTTTATGGTGTGTTTGTGTGCAGTTCACACTGCTGCCCAAGGCTGCACACCAATACATGATCCTTGCAGGAACCTGATCAATTGGTCTAGAGCAGCGGTCGCCAACCTTTCAGTGGTCCGCGGACCACCAGTTGGCGACCGTTGGTCTAGAATACACTTGGGGGTGGGTGTTCTAGTTTGTAAGCATAGCTAATAATATTTTTAATTGATATTTTTATTGAGGTAGAAAGAATGTCTTTCTAAAAAAATACATTGCAATTCAGATATTCATGGCACCGTGAAGCACTTCAGGTCCCTTCAGCTCAGGCTGGGTGGGGCACGTGGGGAGTCATCTGTCCCTGAAGATGACCTCCTGGCAGTATCTGCAGAGCTTTGACTGGGCCCCCCTAGGCCCCACTTACTGCCTGGCCAGAGGGATGCTTGATTCTGCACACCTTTGCTATGCACACAGGCTGCAGTATGGCCAGAATACTCTCTGAGGAGACCAGTGCTGGAGGCATTTCTTTGTTGCTCCCTGATTAAGAGTCTTCCAAGGTAAAGATCAGCCTGGGAAACTGAAGTAGATAGTGTGGCAGCAGCCTGCACTTCCTGTGCCCCAAAGCATGGGAAGAGAAATCGTTATATAGTTTGCTTTTTAGATTGCTCAGAAGTGAAAATGTGCCTTTTGCTTAGCAGGAGCCCTTGGCTCTCAGCTTTCTGTGTTTCTGGTCATTCCAGCCCTATCTCCCTAGTGGGATTGGCACAGACACCAGCTGCCTGAAGAAATGTAACTTTGAGGGTGGGGTTGTTAGGTACTGATGGAGGGCAGGGAGCCCTTTTCCCCTGGAAGACCTCCTAGGAGCCCCAGAGTGAATCACACAGGGTACAGGGGCTCAAGCTGTTTAGGACTCTCTCAAGGCTCTTGAGGCAATCCTGACTGCATGGCGGAGGGGGAAGTGCAGATTTGGAGGCAGAGCTTGGTCCTCAAAACTGTTGGTAGGGAAACGGGCCTTTGGATTCAAGCTCTTCCGAATCTTCAGTTCTTCACAGCAGCCAAGGAAAATGTAATTGAGTTTAAGTTGTGAGAGGTTGGAGTTGAACTCCAGTGTGAACAGGCATCCTCTCCCCTTTCTGGCGCCCTCCTGCTCGGAGCCTGCTCTGTCCCTCTGGTGGCCCTTTTACATCAGACCCTGCGTCTTGGCACACTCTGAGCCCAGTAATGCTTGGGCTGTGTTTGCTCATTTTTTTTCCTTTTTGGCTTTTTGTCTGTTTGTGTGTGTGTGTGTGTGGGGGGGTGATCTCAAAGTTATTCTCACACAATACATAAACTGAATTTCAAGCAGATTAAAAGAAATAAGCATATTTTTAAAAGATACCATAAAGTACTAAAAGAAAACATTAGAAAAATATTGGTATAATCTTGGAGTCGGGGAAGAGGACCCGGAAGTCACAAAGGAAAAGAATCACAGGTTAAACAACATACAAATGAAAACCCTCTGCATGTCAGGAAAACCACTAGGATCAGTGGTAGAAGGCATGCGCAGACAGGGAGAAGGTATTTGCAGCGTATACATACCCATTGTGTATAAAAGGTGAGAAAGAGACCAACAAACCAAACAGAAAACAGGAAAAGCACTGCCTGTTTCCGCTAACCTGGTGCCTTCTGAGTCCTGGAAACGTGATTTGCACGTCCTGGTGGCAGAGATGTTCCTGTAAGTTGTGAAGGCAGTTGTGCAGCCTCCATCTGGACCTGTTTATGAGAAGTCCTGTTGGCTGCCATCCGTCAGTTAGTTAAAATCCTTACCTGTAGGATGTGGGACTGAGGGCCTGTGGGCCCTGCCAGCCTCACAGTGACACCACTGAAGTGCTGAAGCAATCGGTTGTTACAGAGAGGCTTCAAGGCCAAGTGCTGGGGCGTGTGGCTTTGCTAGTTCCTAGCTACATAGAACTGGAGAAGTTACAGCACCTCCCACCTCTGTTTGCTCATCTGCGAAGCAGGTTTCAAAATAATGTCTCCCCCACGTAGGGCGTTGGGAGGATTAGTGAGCCACCACATGGCAAGTACTCGGGCCATTGTCCAGCGTGAATTTGCACCTCAGAACGTGACTGAAAGCTTGTCCTTGTCATGTCTCCGTCACATCATTCCAAAAGGAAGTTCTTTCCTGCCGCTTTCTCGTGGCCCTGGGGCCACATGGTACTGTTACAGGGCCTGACAGGTGAGCTCGCTCTTTCCTAGGACACCTTTGGAATGTGTCAGAGGGTTGGCTCTGGAAGCTCTCTTCGCACAGGGTTCATGGGAGCCCTTTTCCAGGGGAAGCAGGGCTTCCTCTCTACCATGCCCTCCTCGGATCTCCCAGGGCCGGTGTTGGGAGCTGCTGGGTTCCTGGCCAGCGCTTGGCATAGCCAAGCTTTGCCAGCCTCCTGAGCCTCCTGTTCTCGGCCAGTGCCTCTGTGAGTTTGAAGTTGCAGCAGTAGTCTGGTTTCTGTTCCGCTTTTGAGGAGACATTTTAAATGTCCATATAACTGGGAATATTTAGTTTCCCCTTCTTAGGCCCCTGGATTTGTTATAGGTTTACTCCTTTATTTTGTCTGACTTTCTGGAGAGCTGGTGTTGCAGTAGCAGAAGAGGTAGATAGGGAGTGTGCAGGTCCTAATGACTGTGCAGGTTCCAGTGACGAGGGACAGGGGACTTCCTAACTGGGTCTTGTTTTCTCTGCAGGAGATAAATGGCATCACTGCTGCACTGGCTGAGGAGCTCTTTGAAAAAGGTATGTGCCAGGGGTCCCCGAAATACTGGTGTAACTTACTCAGCATTGTTAGGTGGCCAGGGGCATGAGATGGCACAGAACTCCCATCTCTTGGGCTGTGCCGAGTGAATCCTAGCCAGGGCTCACCTCCCTGGAGTTGCCCAAGTCCCTGAATCTGATCCACAGCCAAGCCTGCCCGCCTACCTGCCCTGCTGGCAGCCAACTGTGAGGAGTTGGGGGTCCTTCACCTTGGGACTCTCAGGTTCTTGTCTTGGGGGTAACCCCAAGCTCAGGATCTAGTTCAAAGCCCTATGGTGGAATTCTGGAAGGTGAGAGCATTGTGCCCTCTTGCATCTGGTTTGTCCTTACCTAACAGTGATCAGGTGGCAAACAGAAGCTGAGTGTGGGCCATGGACCTGCAGCAGAGCATAGTTACAGTAGCTAACGTGTGAGATGTGCTTCCTGTGGTCCAGCCTAGTGTTCAGCATCTTACTGCCATGCCACCTCCTCTTTCTCCTTTGGGGGGGTGCAGATGAGGGCACTGAGGATGAGAGGCTCGGTGATCTGCTTGAGGATACATGGCTGGAAGGAGCAGAGTGAGGGCCAAATGCCAGTCTGGCTGGCTCAGAACCCCCACCTGCTCTCAGGCCCTACACTGTGCTGGCATTTGAGGCTTCACCTAACTGAGATGTCTGTATCTTGGAGGTTGCAACATAGGTCTGTTGTGCACAATGCTGCCTTGTATCAGCTTTATCCTGGCTTAATGTGTCAGGTTTTTAACTGAGCCTCACCTCAGTGAGGTTCCCCAGGCACACATCCCCATGGCCCTTCCCTCCTTGGTAATCCCATGTTCTGGGTGTGCCCTGTGCCCCATGAGTTCAGGAGGGCAGCTGCTCCTGTGTGCCCAGAATGGTGGCTTTGTCCTGACGTGGTGCAGTGCCATAGCAGGTGCTTGGCAAACGCTTGTTAACTGTTAGCCAGGTGGGCAGACGCCCTGGCCGCTTGACGAGGACAGGGCTGGAGGTGGATGCTCACCCTCGGGTATGGCTATTGCAGGAGAACAGCTCCTGGGGGCCGGCGAGGTCTTTGCCATCAGGCCCCTGCAGCTCTATGCGGTCACTGAGCAGCTGCAGCTGGGAAAGCCCACGTGTGCCAGTGGCGACGCCAAGACTGACCTTGGGCACATCCTGGACTTCACCTGTCGCCTTAAGTACCTTAAGGTAAGTGCAGCAGCTCATTTGTAGATGTGGTGGGCATACAGCCAGCATGGGGCCTAACAGCTCACTGGCTGGCGATGTGCGTAAAAGAGGCTGGGTGGGCCATCCCAGGAAGGACGGCCACTTTTGTGTTCTTGGCACTGAGCTTCTGGCTGTGAGCACTAGGGGGCAGTCATGACCCAATGTCCCTTGCTTTAAACTTCAGCTTTAGCCTGCTTTGTTGACGGGGTGCATGCCCACCATGCCTCATTGCCAGGCAGATCTTCAAGTCGTGGCAGTTGCTGCAGCACTGCCCGGTGAACATGGATGGGGAGCCATGTGGCAGCATCCCTGACTCAAGCCATATCTGCTGCAGGTTTCTGGCACAGAAGGACCTTTTGGGACCAGCAACATTCAGGAGCAGCTGCTGCCTTTTGATCTGTCAATATTCAAGTCTCTTCATCAGGTGGAGGTAAGGCCCTGGGCCCTGGAGTGCAGGCAGGGCTGAGGCCTGCACAGGGATCATCTTGCTTATGAATAACTGGACCTAATTGTAAGGCAGTTACTTTGGTGTTTGTTAGTAGGTGACAGGTTTCATCTAGGGGAGTAAGGCCAGCCTGAAGGCAGAGAAAGAGGGGATCTGCTGCTCTTGGCTGGCCTGCATATCTCTGCCCCGGCATGGGCAGCATTTGAACAGGATGGAGCACCAGTGCCCACTCCTTTCGGGCCTCCTCATTCGAGTTGAAGTGCCGAGAAGTCATCCTGAGGCTCAGGCAGAGCTAATTCAGGTCTTTCCCAAGGCAGGTCAGCAGAGGCTTTGAGTTCTCTCCTTCTAGCACGCCCATACGTAACTCTGCATTACTCACTGCTGAACATTTGGGTTCAGGATGCCAGTTTTGCCATTTTTAAAATGAAAGAGGGACTCCGTAACGAATAATACAAAATGTATTAAAGCATCTATTTCTCAAGCATGGCCCTTGTGTGCAGCCCTGTGCCCCATGTTTGATGTACACTCCTTGGTGGATTCTTCCTAATAGCCCATAAAGTGGGTACTTTTATTCCCCTTTTATAGTTGAGAAAGCTGAGGCTTAGGGAGGTTAGGAAGTTTGGCCAGGACCACGTGGTTAATGAGGGGAAAGCTGGGATCTCAGTTCAGCTGTTCCCGACACTAGAACCTCTGCTACACATTGGACTATTCTGCCTACAACATTTTGGGCTTGTCTCCAACCTGGAGGACTGCTTCCCTTGGTGGGAACTTGTGGGAACTCGACCAGTGCAGGCCAAGTGAGGACAGAGAAGTCAGAGAGGTGCCTGGCCCAGCTTTGCCCACCTCCCCCTTCCCGCCCCCTCATAGGACTGCAGACACCGGGGGAGTGGGGCAGGGTGAACAGGAGGGTCCATCGTGTTCACTGTGCTTCAGAGGCCCCTTGCTCTCAGCTCTGATCTCTGTGGCCCACACTTCCTGAGCACCTGCCAAGCCCCAAGCAGCCCCTACACGGAAAATGGAATTCATAATTTATTGTGAGTCTTACCAGGTTCTTCAGATGCTGTTTAGTCAGCACTAAAAGCTGGGAAAGGAGAGACTTAGGATTTGAATCACCTCTTGCCACTACCCAAGGCTTCTGTTCGATAAGTGATGCCGTTCCTGAGACATGGCTGTTCCTTGTTCCAGATAAGCCACTGTGATGCCAAGCACATCCGGGGACTGGTCGCCTCGAAGCCCACATTAGGCACGATGAGCGTGCGCTTCTCAGCAACCTCGATGAAGGCGAGTACCCCCTGTTTCTTGCCTGGAGATGTCTGTAGGGCAGGGTTCTGCGCTGTGGTCCCACCCCACCGAGGGTGGGAGTGCACATCACCACTGTCAGAAACCAGAAGCTGAACCTTCCTAGGCCTGGGTAGCCATCCACTCATGGGAGACCTTCCAGTACTTAGCAATGCCTGGGATGCTTTAGTCCACATCTTCATCAAAAATCACGCTGTTAAACAAGATATTTTAAGGAACTGGGTCCCCCACCCCCTGCCCTCAAAAAAAAGTCACTGGTGTTTGATGAGCAAATTGTTAAGCAGTGGCAACTGGCAGGACATTTATAGCTAGATTGATATGAATGTTTCTCTAAGCTTAAAAAGCCCTGACTTAGCACTTGTTTGTGTCTTGTTCTTAGTGGACTTAAAGGAGATAGGTGAGGCTGTGGATATGTTAGGCTCTGATGTTTGTATATGAGCCACAGTAATACTCAAATTGAGAATGTAAGAGGTTTCTTTTCTATTTGCCATTTTATGAATTTCATCTTAGTTATGTTAAAATTCTCCAGAAAAGCATAGTGGCAACTTTTATGACTAAGACTGTCAGACCAAGATTTAGGTTTGGTGAATTTGAGGCTTACTAAAAGAAGACTTGTGTCAAGAGCAAGGGTGTCAGGCAACCTTGTCTCTCTCCGAAGCACTTCCTGCCGCCTGGCTCACGGGGCTCAAAATGATCCATCGAGAGAGGAGAGGTCTTGTGGGCATGAAATGTCAAAATGAGGAGGCCTGCCTCCCTCCCCTTCAGTGGTGCTGCCCCTGTGCACTGTGCTGCTTTCTCAGCATTGTTGGACTTGAACCCTGTGAAGTAATGGTTAAAAGGGCCTGCTGTCCACAGCGGGGACCACAATGCCAGCTTGGAAAGCACAGTTGCCTGGAAACACCATGAATTCTGACTTTTAGCCTCTGAGATTTAAGCCAGAAAAGGCATCACCATTTATATATATATATATATATATATATATATATATATATATATATATATATATGGCAAAAACTTGAAAAGTATTTGCTCCTAAAGCAGGACCGGAACATATTCCAAATAACTGTATGTTGCTAAGCTTTTCAGTTATTTCACAATCGCTTAAAGACATATGAACCAAAGCCCAAGTTTAATGCAAGTTCACTTCCACCTGCTAAATATGCCCAAGCTCTTCCTGAAATTTTGCAATGATTGCATTCCCAGTGAGTGTTGCGTGAGGGCCAAGTGTGCTCAACAGATGTTCTTACACAGGAAGTCCTCGTTCCCGAAGCCTCAGAATTTGATGAGTGGGAGCCAGAAGGCACAGCCCTGGAAGGCCCTGTGACTGCCATCATCCCCACATGGCAAGCACTGACCACTCTAGACCTGAGCCACAACAGCATCTCCACGATCGACGAGTCTGTGGTACGCTCTCAGCAGTGGGCTCTAGGGTTTTCTACCCGAGGTTGGGTATTTAACTGGCTTTTTCTGGAAAGACCACAGAAAACTTGGGCTCTGTGCATTGCCTGCAATTTTTAAAATTTGAAAATGGGATTATTTAAAGGAAGTGAGATAGTACTTAGAACCAAATGAGGCATATCAATTATATGCACATTTGATATAAAAACATAGTGATGAAATTTACTCCTGAGGAGTGGAGTGGAAAAATCACTGCACAGATTGCAGATGTGCTTCTGTGAAAGTGACATCCAGACAGCATTTGGGAAATAGTGTGATTCAGGTATTTGTGCTTCTTAGTGGTTGGGATTAGAGAAGAAGATGGACAGACTTCCTTCTCTGGGACCTGCCATTTGTCATTTTCATAAGCCACGTGCTCCATAAAAATGGGGTGTGTGCTCATCACTGGAGTCCCTGTGTGTTCCTGTGCACGTGCCGCTGGGTGGGCACTGGGAGGTGTCACATCATTGGCCCTGCAGAGGTGGCCAGCCCAGGAGTTCACAGTCAAAAGGAAGAGTCCCTTGCCCTAGTCAGTTTGGCTCAGTAGTTGTAGTGTCATTCTGCGAACTGCAGGGTCCTGGGTTCTATTCCATTCAAGCGCATGTACATTGATCCCTCTGGGGTGCATGCAGGAGGCAACCAATCGATGTGTCTCTCTCACATCGATGTTTCTCTCTGTCTTCCCCCCTTCCTTCCACTCTATTTAAAAATCAATGGAAAAAATATCCTCAGTGAGGATTAACGAAGGGAAAAAAAAAAAAAAAAAAAGGAAGAGTCCCAGGGTGGCCTTGGCAAGTGTCGTCCCATGCACCAAAAGGTCGATTCCCATTCAGCGCACATGCCCAGGTTGCAGGTTTGGTCCCTGGTTGAGACAAATTCAGGAGGCAACCAATTGATGTTTCTCCTTCACATTGATGCTTCTCTCTCTCCCTCCCCCTCTCCCTCTTCCTTCCTCTCTCTAGGAAAAAAATCAATAAAAACATTTTTTAAGTAGTCCCAGGGTGTCTGTCCACCATGTGCTGGGGTGACATAGGGTCCAGGCTCCTAGAGTAACATCAGGTGTTGTCTTTTTTTTTCCCCACAAGAAACTGATTCCAAAGCTTGAGTTCCTGGACATGAGTCATAATGGAGTGCTAGTTGTGGACAACCTGCAGGTAATGTCTTTGAAGACCGTTGCCACCTTTGGGCTTCTTACAAGGTCCCTGAGAGTTCAGAAGGCTGACTCAGCCTTGGGAATTTGGCCATACCCTGGGTTTTCTCTCACAGGCACTGGAAAGGTGTCTGGGTACTCCAGAGGTTTGTAGCGGCAGGAGCTGCTGCTATCCCTTTAGGGTCCCAGCGTTGCACGGAGCGATTGTCACTGTAGTTCCCCAGAGTTAGAAAAGATGCATAAGTACAAATCGAGCGAGGTGGAGATGTTGCACCTCCATCATGAAGGTACAAGCTCGTTTTCAAAGCTCACACCTACCCTGTGGGCTGTGCTGTCTCTGCAGGAAGTGCCACTGGGCTGTGGCATGTGCAGGGGAAAAGAGGGAGTTCCCTTCCAAATGCCGGCCAGAGGGAATGGAGCTGACCTGCAGAGCTGGCCATTTCGGATTGGAGGCTCATCACACCTTTAGTGTCGGTTCCCTTTCCTTGCAGCCTTGACCTAGACCACTTTCCCCTGTTCTCAATGTCGCCTCAGCACCTGTACAACCTCGTGCACCTGGACCTGTCCTACAACAAGCTGTCCTCCTTGGAAGGGGTTCACACCAAACTGGGGAACATCAAGACTCTGAACCTGGCTGGCAACCTGCTCGAGAGTCTGAGTGGCCTGCACAAGCTCTACTCCTTGGTCAACCTGGACCTCAGCAACAACAGAATCGAACAGGTGATCCATGTCCCCCGTTAGGATGTCAGGGTTGTGGGATGGCTGTTTATCACTTTAAAGAAGAATGCTAAGCCTTCTTTCATTAAAAGGCTGTCAAACGTGTTGTCATGTTGCCAAAGTGTTAAAAGAAGGGACGAGGGGAATGGAATTCGTGCCTTGCAGATGGAGGAGGTCCGGAGCATAGGCAGCCTCCCGTGCCTGGAGCACGTGGCTCTGCTGAACAACCCCCTGAGCATCATCCCCGACTACCGGACCAAGGTGCTGGCTCTGTTTGGAGAGAGGGCCTCTGAGGTAGGCTGCCAGGGTAGGGGCTAGAGTGGGTGGGGGTTGGCTTGATCAAAGAGACAGTCAGACAGAGTCCACATCTACACAGGCAGAACCACTGCTGATGTCCACTGTCTTATTACCCTTGCCTGCTTCAGAAGGACTTCCTCACCCTAAGTGGCCTTTCAGTTCTGGGAAGTCTGCTGCCTCCCCAAGAAAAACCTCCTTCACCCTTCCTGCAACCCCTCCTGTCAGCGGCCAGTGGCCACCACGGTTCCCCAGAGGACTTCCTCACATTGCCTCCAGCAGAGCTGCAGCCCAGAAGGGCTCCCCATGAACCCACAGGCAGAGCCTCAGTGTAGAGGGACTGTCTTCAGCTTGTCAAAAGCAACATTGATTATTATAGGCAAGGGTTAGAAATAAGGTATTTAATATTTTTTATTGATTTGATTTTTTTTTTTAGAGAGACATCGATTCGTTGTTCGCTTATTTATGCACTCATTGTTTGCTCCTCATATATGCCCTGACCTGGGATCAAACCTGCAACCTTGGCATATTGGGATGATGCTCTAACCAACTGAGCTACCTAGCCAAGGCCAAAAATAAGATATTTTTAAAAATCCTGTGTCCTGGATGACTTCTGGCCACGAAGTCTGACTACAGACCCCAAGGGTGCGCCCACCTTTGCCAGTGTAGCCCCGCAGTATCTGCTGCCTGTTGAGTGTGTCTGGCCAACAGCCACCCTGCCAACAGAACAGGTCTTTAGCCAGGTTCACCTGTCTCCTCAAGCAGGCCCCTCCCCCATTTCCCCAAATTCCAGGCCAGAAGATACTGGAAGTCTGCATTCTTTTCTCATCCTCCCCCACCCCCAATCTCTTTTCGGTCCCAAATGCCACTCACACTGTCACCAAGACAGTGTTCACAAGATGACATCTCTCCTCCTGCCCGCTCCACACTGCCTGCCAGCCCACAACCCCTCCTGCATTTGCAGGCAGGGTGCCTGCTTTCCATGCCTCTGTCCTCCAGTGCCCAGCCCAGAGGCCTTCTCTATGCTCTTTGCTGATGTGAGTTCCACCGTAATTGGGGGCTTAGTTCAAGTCATCACCTTACCCCAATCCCAGCCATCCAAGAGGCCTCTGCAATGGACCTTGTACCCCTGCCTCACCTTTTTGGAAAGGGACTCTCAGTAACAGACTAGGCCCTGTGGGACCTCCCTGGACCGCTCTAAGGAACTTGCAAGTCACTTCCATGGATGGTGAGGAACTCACCTCCCAGTGGGCTGAGCCCCCAGGCCTGGCCCCCACATTGCCAGGCTCCTGTCATTCTGCTCTCTGCTTGCCAGCTCCTAGGCTGATCGCCGTTTCTGGATTCTGTAGGTCTGTCTGGACAACTCAGTGACCACAGAGAAAGAGTTGGACACGGTGGAAGTGCTGAAAGCAATTCAGAAAGCCAAGGAGGTCAAGTCCAAACTGGGCCAGCCTGAGAAGAAGGTGGGTCTGTATGGGAGGAGTGGTGGTGAGGAGCAGCCAAGGAAGGAGCTGGCTCCAGTGAACTGGGCTCTGGGCTACTCACAGCCACTGAGTCCTGACACATGACCTTGGGCAAGTCACACCGTCTATTCTCATCTGCACGGTGAGGGTGGTGATAGTACCTGCTGTACAGGGTGGTGAGGACTACGCGAGACTGACTTCGCATCCCCATTGTTTGTGAGAACCTCTGAGTTTCTCCTCATCCCTGGCTTTTCGAGTTCTTTTCTTCCCGATCCTTCTCTTTTTTTCCTGGGCTGACTCGAGCACTCTCCTAGGTTGGCGAGGATTGCCAGCTCTCCGCTGCCCCCTGTGTCAGACCCAGCAGCTCCCCTCCCACCGTGGCTCCCACGTCCGCCTCCCTGCCCCAGCCCATCCTCTCCAACCAAGGTAATCATGTATGTAGCTTTCTGCCTAGCAGAGCCACATGGGCCCTGGCTGGGCTGGGGTTGGGGGGAGGTGCTGGCATCTGCTCCCGGCAGGGTTCAGACACAGGGTGGGTGTGGTGCTGTCTACCAGCCAGCTCCTCTCTGGGTGGCACATGGTGGGGGTGCCTGGCCTGATTTCAGCTCTGTGGTTTGCTTAGTGAGGACCACCCCCCACATTGTTCTGACACCCACATCAGCTCCTCTAGGAAACCATAGGGTGTCACTGCGGCCCTGAGGCTGCTCTTGGAACAGGCTCAGCTGCTGGCTCCCCCCACAGGCTGTGTGGGCGGATTGGCTCCTTATTAACGGGAAGCCAAGCCTTGTTACTTTCCTGAATCGGCTGCCTTGATCCCCGCATGGGGAACTTGCTTTTATCATCGCCTCATCTCTGTGGCTCAGGCCCAGACACTATTTGTGGGGCCAGACAGGCTGTCCAGGACCCATGGAAGACCAAGCCTTTTCACCTGCCCACTGTCTTAGCGTTTTCAAAGGGCTTTCACCTCTGAACCCAGGCATCCTCGGAGATGAGTGAGTGAAGCAGGTCCCATGAGAGTGTCTGCTGGCCCGGCCCCCACGGAAGAGGGGAGGGTGTGCCGTCCCGAGTGGAACCGAGGCTCGGGACACACAGGAAGGAACGCCGCCCGCCCACCCGGGCTCCTGGAGATGCAGAACTTGGTGTGAGGTCTTGGGAAAACAGTTTGACCCTATGTTTCAAGAGCCAGAAAAACGTTCCCACTCCTTGACCTGGTAACCCCAAGTGGTGGGGAGTTTATCTTGGTGGGATAAGATAATGGGAAGGGGAGATGATGAACTGCTCGCTGCAGCGCTATTTATGCTAGCAAAGCAGGGGATGTGACAGACGTCAGAGGATGAGAGGGAGATTAGGCAGTGGTGCCGGATACTCTGCAGCCATCACATCAGAGAGGAGGGCTGGGTAGGAAGGAGGGAGAATGCTGAGGGTAAATCAGCCTGCTGCAGGGCGGTGCACCGGGGTCACAGCTGAGAGATGCGGAGAGCATTCCTGAGAATGGATGCTGATGTCACGTGCCAGAGCGATGGCCATTTGCTTTTGTAACACTTGACTGAGAAAGTTTTATTTTTTTACATAAAAGGGGCAGGAGGTTGGTATCCCACTGAAGACTTCCCTGACCCCACCTCCTGCTGGGAGCCAGAACCCTCTTTGGGCCTCACAGCACTGGGGAGGACAGGGAGGCAAGTGGTCCTAGGCCAGGGGCTAGCCGGTCCTCAGCCAGCTTTTGTGGAAGTGACCGGGTGTGTGAGTGAGTGAGCAAGTGGAGAACAAGCTGGTAGAGAGCAGACCGCAGGCCAGGTGAGTGAGGCATTGCCCCCAGGGCCATAGCTGCAGGCAGCCCCCCGTTTGATGGTGAAGCCTCTGCACCAGCCAGGCCCAGGCCTCAGCCCTCTTCTTCACTGCCCCCCCACTCCTGGGGACACACCACCGAGTGGCTCACTGTAGTCTGTTCCCTTTCCCCAGCTGATGGACATTTAGACACTGTCTCCAGACTTGCACCTCTTATAAATAAAACTGCAGTGGATGTCTTTGTGTGCACATCTCTTTCCTTTCTGTGAGAAGCAAAGTCGGGCCCCCATCCAATTGCTCTCCTGATGTCCTTGTCCCGTCCTCTGAGTGGCCCTTTCTGACCACTTGTTTGTACTGACTGTGGTCCAGGAAGGAAGCAGCGAGATTATCCCAATTCTCACTTCCTTGGCTCCAAACAGGGCTGGGGGGTGGGGGGAGGGGGGGTGACAAAATGTTGCTTTCTTTTCTCGCTAATATGGAGGAATCCACAGATATTTTTGTGTCCAGCCATGAGCTGCTGGGTCTTGCATGGATGGACATGGATTTCTCCATGTGGAAACAGCTTTGCTCCCAGCCTGATCCTAGAAGTGTGTATATGTGTGAATAAACTGGTCACTCGGAGGCCTGTGTGAAGGGCACTGTCCAGTGGACATCAGGCCTCTGGTCATTTCAGAAGCTGTTAGCCAGCTGGTTGGAGCCACCGAGGATTGTGACCGATAGGCGCTAAAGTGCGGAAGGCCGTGGCGGGCTCACCAGGCGGGGCGGAGCTGAGGGGCTGGAGAGAAGAGGTGAGGAGCAGGCTCCTGGGGTCAGACAGCTGAGTTTGTGCCCCACCTTCCTTGGCTGTGTTCCCTCAAACAACGTGTAGCCTCTCTGAAGTTCTGTTTTCTCAACTATAAAGTGTGAACACCCAGCTTCATCACTTCTAAGATGTACACAGCTTCTGAAATTGAGATGTGTCTTTCAGTCAGTGCTGTCTCATAGTTGCTGGTACTCGTGATGGAGTCGTGTGGAAACCTTCCGTGGACACCTGCTAAGGCCAAGATGCATGCCCATGCATCTTAGATGTGATGAACTGAACGAGGTGTGCGTGAGCCAACACGGGAAGCACCGAGCACTGCTCCCGGCTCATCAGAAGTGGTCATGGAGGCCTCCCTCTCCCGTGTCCTTGATGGGGAGTTTCAAGGTGACCAGGACAGTGCCCCTGAGGAAGCTGTGTGCCCAGGGAAACAGGACAGAGTGCCGGGGGGCGTTTTGTAGAGGGAGAGGTATGGCTAGAGCAGGGCCTTTGCAGCGGAGGTTGTGTGTAGGGGTCCTCAAAAGCTGGGCAGGACCTGAGCATGTGAGGGAGGAGGGTGGGTTCTAGGAGAGAACAGTGCGCTTACGCATAGCTGTGTGTTTGCCCTTCCTGCCTGTGCAGTCCCTGCTGCTTCGCTGGGGTGGGGGGTGGTCTGGGCGTGGGCCCTCAGCCTGCCTACCCCATGGGCAGAGGACCTGGGTTATGTGAGTTGTCTTGTCCCTGGGCAGCTGCTGAGCTGGACTAGGGTCTGTGACCTCTAGGGCTTTAACCTGTGGTGACTGGTTGTAAAGCCAGGCCAAGCCTTGGGCTCCTCCAGATTTTTGTGAAATGAGGTTGATGCCATGTTCACCCAACAAACTGCACTTAGGAAAACATTAAAAAGGCTTTGCCTTCGGCCAGTCTAGGTGTGAAATATCAGGCTTAGACGTAAAACAGCCTCAGCAGGATTTAAAAACACCCCGTTGTTTCCATAGTGCATAAGTCAGCGTGTGCTGTCTGTGGAAGGCTGACGAGGGGAGGCCAGAGGGGTGGTCCTGTGGAAGCAAGCCACGGGTACCGGCGTGGAGGTCCTGTGCCCTCGTGTGTCTGTGAAGCTCTGCAGAGATGTCAGATCGTTGTGGGCGGTGTCCAGCCATTTCTCTGGGAAGGCTCTAGGAGTGAACATGTTTAAGGCTCTTGATGGACATATTGCCAAACTGCTCTCCTGACGGGTGGGCCAGCTCCCACGCCAGTGCCTGCCTCTACCCAGTTCGGCCAAGTCCGGGCCACACAATCAGTCTAAACTTTGCCAAAATGAGAGACAAAACTGGTGTCTTATTCCAGCTTGCCCTTCCGTGCTGATTTGTGAAGGAGGGTGAGCATTGTTTCGTGTGATATCTATTGACCATCTTTTGTGAAATGTGTTTGCATTCTTTGCAGTCTGTCTTCTAGTGGGATTCCCAACGTTATCCCTTATTTTTGTCATCTGTAACAGCTTTTTAAAAATATTTATATTTTATTGATTTTTTACAGAGAGGAAGGGAGAGGGAAAGGGATAGAGAGTTAGAAACATCGATGAGAGAGAAACATCGATTCAGCTGCCTCCTGCACACTCCCTACTGGAGATGTGCCCGCAACCAAGGTACATGTCCTTGACTGGAATCGAATCTGGGACCCTTCAGTCCACAGGCCGATGCTCTATCCACTGAGCCAAACCGGTTAGGGCTGTAACAGCTTTTTATAAAAAGATACAAATGTTCCTCAAATATTGCCAATGCCTTTTTCTCATTTCTTTGTTTACTTATAGAAGTTTAGTTTTTATGTAGTCACATTTCAAATTCTTCCTTTCGATTTAGGCTCAGAAAGTCTCTCTCTACCCTGAAATTGGATAAGCAATCATTTGTTCTTTCTTCAAGTTATTTTAAGATTTCAGTTTTAACATTTTATCCTGTAATCCATGTGGCTGGGTTTGGGGGTCTGTCTATCCCTGGGCCAATGCCAGAATCCCGAGGGCCCAGCCCCATTTGTTGAATGGCTGCTCTTCCTGCCCCGCTGTCCCCCCCGCCTGCCCCTGGTCTCTCCAGGAATCATGTTTGTGCAAGAGGAGGCCCTGGCCAGCAGCCTCTCGTCCACGGACAGTCTTACTCCCGAGGACCGGCCCATTGCCCGGGGATGCTCTGATTCCTTGGAGTCCATCCCTGCAGGACAGGTAATGCCTGCCTCCTGCTTCTGCAGATTGGTTACCTCTGTTCCAGCTCTGTTTGAGGCTGTTGGGAAGTAGGAGGTGGCCTGCCAAGAGTTATGGCAGATGCTGCCAGCGATTGGTGTACTCTGCTTTGTGGTGTCCTCCCTCCCTCCCTCCCTCCCTTCCTCCTCTCCCCGCTCTCATTCTCTCCCCCTCCCTCCTCCCTGTCTCCCTCTGTTAGTGGGAACAGACAGTTCTCTCACTGGGCCCTGGAGGGCAAAGCCAGATAACCTTTAGTTTACATGAGTGGATTCCCTTGGGGAAAGCAATTCTGAAGGTTCTGGAGTGGAGGGGGCCTTGTTTGGGTTCCAAACCCATCAGAGTTTCTCCCCTGTTGCCTGGCACCCCAGGGCTATTCTGCCCATCCCTGCATGTCATCCTGGTAGTTTGGGACACTGTGTGACTGTGGCACCTTCTCTGGCTGCTGCTAAGGGTTCCTTCATGTGTCCTGGGAAGAGAGGAGGTGGCAAGTGTGGTGTGAGTGGCTCATTTGCCATGTTGGAGCGTGTGCTTGCCACCTGTCAGACCTCCCTCTAGCCCCATCTCTAGTCAACAATAGCCCGGACAGTGTGACCCCTGTGGTTGTTTGAGAGGCCTCACCTTACCCCAGCACGCCGTGGCACTCCCTTCTCCCTCCCTGTTGTCCAGAGACCCCTGGGAGGGCCTTGCCAGGTACTGTGCAGCCTCTGTTCATTCTGTCTTCTGCTGACCAGTTACCAAGTTGGTGTATTGTCCATAAGGACCCTCTGGGGTGGCACAGGGAGCACTTGGATGCTAGACCCAGCGGCACAAACTGAACTTCAGAGTGGCAAGAGGTTCTGGCCCAGGAACTGGGAGTGTGGGCTGGGGGCAAACTGACCCGGGTGGCAATCAGCCTTGCTGTGCACTGGCAGGATAACTGGAAGTCTCTCTGTCTCCAGGCCCCATAATTCACCCAGAATGGAGCGTGGGATGGTGAGGAACTGCCTGCAGGGAGGGAGAGGGAGGGCAGGGTGCCTGGCTCAGGGTCTAGCACCAGAAAATGCCAGGGAATGGCCGAGGCAGGTGGGGGCTGACCACATTTCCTTCTCCGTCAGGCACCTTCTGATGATTTAAGGGACATACCTGGAGCTGTTGGCGGTGCAAGGTAAGGAAGAGGTTGAGAAGGCCTGTACACACTCGGCTGTGGGCTAGCGGTAACTAGTTGGATTTTGTTAAATATGTATTCACAGGAGTCTTCCAGAACTACCTCTTCCTTTAAATTAAACACAGATATGAAAAGCCCTGGTCTGCTTCTAAATTTGAGTCTAAGGACATATGTCATTCTACAGAAGGGATCAGCAGATCGAGGCTGGTTTGGTCCACAGCCTGTGAGATAAGAATGATTGTTCCATGCTTAAGGAGCTGTTTTTATTTTTTTTATTTTTTTATTTTTTTTTAAATATATTTTATTGATTTTTTACAGAGAGGAAGGGAGAGAGATAGAGAGTTAGAAACATCGATGAGAGAGAAACATCGATCAGCTGCCTCCTGCACATCTCCTACTGGGGATATGCCCGCAACCCAGGTACATGCCCTTGACCGGAATCGAACCTGGGACCCCTCAGTCCGCAGGCCGACGCTCTATCCACTGAGCCAAACCGGTTTCGGCAGGAGCTGTTTTTAAAAAGAAAAGATTATGTGGTTGGGTGGCCCCAAAAGCCCGAAGGATTCATCCTGTGACCGTTTCCGCCCCGATGTACACACACTGTGTGAGGGCAGTAATGGCCGAGAGGGGCTTGAATTAAATGTGAAGGTCCTAACGCCCCTAGGGAACTGTTGTCAGCAAGCGGCTCCGTGCCCTGGAGCACTCACTGCCTCGGGCTCACGGCCAGTGTCTGAATGACTAAGATCTGTGTGATGCTTCAGGTGGGGGAACCAGTGTGATGTGGCAGGACTGGCCTGAACATGTCATCAGAGTCCTGGGCATGTGGATTCTGGAGAAACTGGTGGCCCCAGCCTTCTGGCACCTTGGCTCCCCAGCGGGGCACTTGTCCTAGGAATAGGCTCGGCTATTTAGCATTTTGGGATACCCATGAGTTGGTTCCTCAGGACGAGGGTGTAGCCCCAGACTTGAGAGGTGGGGTGTCCCAGCCCAGCGTGTCACTGACCTGGCTTCTCACACAGCTCAGAGCACTCGGAGCCGGAGGTCCAGGTGGTGCCTGGGTCTGGCCAAATCATCTTCCTGCCCTTCACCTGCATTGGCTACACAGCCACCAACCAGGACTTTATCCAGCGCCTCAGCACACTGATCCGGCAGGCCATCGAGCGGCAGCTGCCAGCCTGGATCGAGGCAGCCAACCAGCGGGAGGAGGGCCAGGGCGAGGATGACGAGGATGTGGCTGAGAACCGCTACTTTGAAATGGGGCCTCCAGATGTGGAGGAAGAGGAGGAAGGAGGCCGGGGAGAGGAAGAGGAGGAGGAAGAAGAGGAGGATGGTGAGGAGGAGCGCCTGGCCCTGGAGTGGGCCCTGGGTGCAGACGAGGACTTCTTGCTGGAGCACATCCGCATCCTCAAGGTGCTCTGGTGCTTCCTGATCCACGTGCAGGGCAGCATCCGCCAGTTTGCCGCCTGCCTCGTGCTCACTGACTTTGGCATTGCTGTCTTCGAGATCCCGCACCAGGAGTCACGGGGCAGCAGCCAGCACATCCTCTCTTCCCTGCGCTTCGTCTTCTGCTTCCCGCACGGCGACCTCACTGAGTTCGGCTTTCTCATGCCCGAGCTGTGTCTGGTGCTCAAGGTGCGGCACAGCGAGAACACGCTCTTCATCATCTCAGATGCCGCCAACCTGCACGAGTTCCACGCCGACTTGCGCTCATGCTTCGCCCCGCAGCACATGGCCATGCTGTGCAGCCCCGTGCTCTATGGCAGCCACATCAGCCTGCAGGAGTTCCTCCGCCAGCTGCTCACCTTCTACAAGGTGGCGGGCGGCTGCCAGGAGCGCAGCCAAGGCTGCTTCCCGGTCTACCTGGTCTACAGCGACAAGCGCATGGTGCAGACGGCTGCCGGGGACTACTCGGGCAACATCGAGTGGGCCAGCTGTACGCTCTGCTCTGCTGTGCGGCGCTCCTGCTGTGCACCCTCCGAGGCTGTCAAGTCCGCTGCCATCCCCTACTGGCTGCTGCTCACACCCCAGCACCTCAACGTCATCAAGGCTGACTTCAACCCCATGCCCAACCGTGGGACCCACAACTGTCGCAACCGCAACAGCTTCAAGCTCAGCCGCGTGCCACTCTCCACTGTGCTGCTGGACCCCACACGCAGCTGCACCCAGCCACGGGGTGCCTTTGCTGACGGCCATGTGCTGGAGCTGCTCGTGGGCTACCGCTTTGTCACCGCCATCTTCGTGCTGCCCCATGAGAAGTTCCACTTCCTGCGCATCTACAACCAGCTGCGGGCCTCGCTGCAGGACCTGAAGACTGTGGTCATCGCCAAGACCCCTGCGACTGGGGGCCAGTCCCAGCGCCCCCTCGTGGATGGCCAACCTGCTGAGAACAGGGTCAGGTGAGACTGAGCACAGGCTTTCGGGGCCAGGGCATGGGACTGGTATGTGCGCAGGGAGTTCACATCGCTGTGTCCGAGATCACTCGCCCCAAATCCCATCTCTGAGCACCTGCAGAGTGTGCGTGGGTCCAGGGTGGGCCCAGTCCTCAGCTGCTCCTCAGCTCCTGACCGCCCTCAGCAGTGTCCCTGACTCCCTCGGGCTTGGCACGGGGCTGCTGCTCCTCTCCCAGGGCTTCAGAAGAGGCCTAAGAAAGCTGTCCTTTCACAAGGACAGTCTGGCCCAGTCCCCTGCCATTTAGGGCCCTGCATGGCTGGGTCCGGGTGCCTGAGCTCCTGCCAGCAGGCAGGTCAGGCTGGGGTGATTGCCCTACCTTGTTTGGCCTTCTCTGCTCTGCTCCACTGGGCCCAGCACAGCCTCTAAGAATCACCCACCGTCTCCTCCCCTCAGGGCCTCACAGTCCCATGCCAAGCCTTATCCTGTTGAGAGCCACCCAGCCCTGCTCAGGAAGGTCTGGGTTGCTGATGGGGCTCTCTTTCTGTATGTAATTTGGGGAGTCCCCTTCAAAGGAACTGAGTGTGTGAGCTGGGTGGTCACCTTGTGCAAAGCTCCTTTTTTTCTGGGGGAGACTGGGACACAGAGAGAAGGAGTGGCAGCTGGGAGCCCTGTTCTGCTCATTCCCACTCTCTTCTCTGCCCTGCCCCCTCCCCCAGCTTGGCTTTCCCTGGGCTCCCTCCTTGGGTTTCCCTGAGGGCTGCCTGAGGCTGGGGTAGAGGGCATCTCTGGGGGGGCATGGTCACACCTTAGCTCACCTCCACCTGGGGCTCAAGGGGCCTGTGCCCTTGAGGGGGCCCCTATTTCCTTTCACTGCCCCCTGGCTGCACATATGCTGGGTTTTCCCCTCGTGGGCAAGAAAGCCCTTCATTTGTCACCTTCTTGTCCCCGGGACATAGTTACGCTCACTTTCTTGTCTATCCTGGTAGTCAGTGGAGACCATATTCTCACTCCAGCATCTCACGGGGCCTGCCTTCTCCCTCCAACCTTCCTGCCGAACTAATGCGTCCAACCTCTTCTTGGCTGAATTGGGTGCCTCTCCTATGCTCAGCTCAAATCCCATGCCCTCTGCAGGGACCCCTGATGCCTAGTGAACAGCTTAAGCCCAAGGTGGCCCTGCCCAGCTGTCCCCCATCTCCCTGCCCCTGTGCTAAGGCTTAGGTGACATTTCTCTGCCACCCCAGAGCCTAGCTGTTACCTTCCCACAGTGGGACCCCATGCAGAAAACCAGCCCTTGCTACATTCCTGCAGCCGCATCCCTGTCTGCGCCAGCAGGAGGACAGCCGGGGGCTTCTTCGGGCATGTGGCCTAGTGCAGGGCCAGAGGGCAGGGATCTGATTGGACAGCTAGACTGTCCAGTTGAGAAGACAATTCCCAAGGACTTCCCTCAGCACAGGCACCGGCATGTAGGCATGTAGTCTGGTTGCAGGGGGCGCCCCAACCGCCAGGAGCTTTAAGGGTTCTGTGTCCAGGTTGGGGTGGAGGAAAGCCTGAGCCACCTGAGAGGACCCAAAGGCAGACTGAGGGGTAATTTGAGTTTTTGGTTCTCAGACTTGATTGCACCCAGATCCCAGCCCTGGGTACCTGGGTCATACTCTGGACTCTGCAGTGACATTTCCGACTCCTCTATCACCTGCTCAAAATAAGTGTTTGGTTTATGGGCCACAAGTGTCTGGCCATCCTAGCCTGGGGTGCTCCCATCTTCCCATCTATCTCCCAAGAGAAAGGGCCTGGGTACCTTTTCTCTGCTCTTTTGTCTTTCCAGGGCCCCATAGGTGGAGTGTGTGTGGTGCATGCTTTCCCCTCACACTTCTGAGGTTGAGCATGTGATATGAATCTCCTTTGGGGTCTACATCTTAATATAGTCTTTCTTGGGGGATTGGGAGGTGCAGTGATGACCAGAGTCCCCAGGAAGCCCCAGCAGAGGCTCCAGCGCCAGCACCAGCCCCAGAGGAGGCCCCAGATCTGGCCCGGGCAAAGGCCTCAGCCCCAGAGGACACCCCAGCTCCAGCCCCAGCAGAGACCTCAGTGCCAGCTTTGGTTCCAGCAGAAGCCCCAACAGAGGCCTCAGCCCCAGAGGAGACCCCAGCTGCAGCCTTAGTGGAGGCCCCGGCACCAGCTGAGGCCCCCGCCCAGTACCCAAGCGAGCACCTGATCCAGTCCACCTCAGAGGAGAATCAGATCCCCTCACACCTGCCCGCCTGCGCATCGCTCCGGCACATTGCCAGCCTGCGGGGGAGTGCCATCGTCGAGTTCTTCCACAGCAGCATTGCAGAGGTAGTGGCCTGGGTGCTGGTCTTGCTGGCTGGCACTGGTGTGGAGAGGAAGCATAGTTGGTCCTGGAGATTGCAGAGTTTGTGTTGGGGTCAGCCTCAGATTCTCTGACTTCTCTGCTGGCTTTTCCCCAGCTTCAGCTGTTCACAGCTGGAGGGTCTAGGTTGGGAGGTCCCGGACTGACCTTTCCTGGTCAGTTGTCCTATCACCGTTGCCCCCTGCGGCCACTCCTATTCTTGGGCCCCCCACACCGCACTGCACATCCATCTCCCATCCCTCACCTCCTATCTGCTTCCAACTTCATTTAATCTATTGACAAGATGTGATGACCTGCCTGAGTCTCCCCATCCAAGGCTATGGGCATGTCACCAGGGTGGTGGGCCTAACAGGGGGGCCTGCCCTGAGGTCTGTTTCAGGCACGGTCTGGAAGAGAAGCTGCGTGCTCTGCCCGGCCCTGCTTTCCTGCAGCCCTAACCCAGCCCCTTTGTGTCCAGGTGGAGAACGAGGAGCTGAGGCACCTCATGTGGTCCTCGGTGGTGTTCTACCAGACGCCGGGGCTGGAGGTGACGGCCTGCATGCTGCTCTCCACCAAGGCCGTGTACTTCGTGCTGCACGACGGCCTCCGCCGCCACTTCTCTGAGCCACTGCAGGGTAGGCACCAGGGCCTGCTGCCGCCCGGGAGCTGGAGCCTGTGCCCAGGAGATGGGCCTGTTGTGTGGCCTCAGCAGTGACTTGGCTGCACTGGACTGGGAATCTCTTGGGAGTGGGGGTGACACGACCCCCCCTCCCACGCTGTCATGAGGAACCTAGGGTCAGACATGAAGGCGCCAAGCCAGGGCCTGGGGAGCACCTGGGCACTAGCTATGATAAGGGATGGAGCAGCTTTGCCCCTCAGAGCCCCAGTGGGGGGCTCCTGGTGACTCCACTGAGTCAGGCACGGCTCAGACTCTAGGTCACATTGCCCATGAGGCCTTGTGTGTGTGGAGGGGGGACGGTGCTCCTCAGCTGCCCAGGCCAGCCAAGGGGACCTATTCCTACTGGACTCAGCTGTGCCTAGGCCCCTCATGCTCGCCTGGCACAGCCCCTTCCCCCCCTTTTCTCCATAGATTTCTGGCATCAGAAAAACACTGACTACAACAACAGTCCCTTCCACATCTCCCAGTGCTTTGTTTTAAAACTCAGTGACCTGCAGACAGTCAACGTTGGGCTTTTTGACCAGTATTTCCGGCTGACGGGTGAGTGACCACTGCTTTGTCCTATTTTAGCGAAGGCCAGTGTTACCAGTGGGCTTCCACCTTCCATCTGTGGGTGCGTTATCGCAGGCAGGGTCATCTGCTCACAAGCCCCTTCACGGGAGCGGGAGGAAGCAGCTTCAGGAACTGCTGAGAGTGCAGAACTCACCGGCCGGGGCTCAGGGCAGGAGGGACAGAGCAGCAAGTGCGGGCAGTGCCAGAGGCAGGCCGAGTGGGCCCTGTGCTTAAGGCAGGATGTTTCTGACTCACACTTCCTGAGGAGAGAAGACTAAGCTCTTTCCCTAATGCCTCTGTGTCCCCTTCCAGAAAAAAGTCACAGCCCTTCCGGCCTGAGAAGTAGCCTTCTGTTGAGGCCCCGTGATGCTTTCCCACTTGGGCCTTGGCCCTGGCTGTGTGGTCTCCAGGTCCAGGCTGACCTGCTAGAGACTGGAGGTCACTCCAGCAGCAAGGACGGCTGGGAGCAGCTGCCTGTAACCGTGACCAGCCCCTTCTCCCACAGGCTCCTCCCCGATGCAGGTGGTGACGTGCTTGACTCGGGACAGCTACCTGACACACAGCTTCCTTCAGCACCTCATGGCCGTGCTCTCCTCCCTGGAACGCACGCCCTCACCTGAGCCTGTGGACAAGGACTTCTACTCTGAGTTTGGGAACAAGACCACAGGTACCTGCCCCGCTCAGGCTGTAGACAGGCCATCTGGCCTCACCAGCCCCGAGGGTGCAGCACGCCCGGAGTGCTCTCTTCCTCACTTTCTCTGGTCCCGCTCAGCCAGCTAGGGTTTCCCATGGCAGAGTCTCCATCCCAGCAAACCCCTAACCATCTGGTAGACGCACCTGCTCTGGGCTGCTGGTCTGTGGGTCTCTGCCTGGGCATTGGGGCTTGGAGTGCTCCTGCCTGCCTCTGGTGGCCTGTGGCCACTGACACTCATAACACACCACAGTTCCAGCTCCAGCCCAGTGGGCATCTCTCTCTACAGGGAAGATGGAGAACTACGAGCTAGTCCATGCTAGCCGTGTCAAGTTCACCTACCCCAGTGAGGAGGAGGTCGGGGACCTGACGTTCACCGTGGCCCAGACAATGGCGGACCCAGGGAAGGCACCGGCCCTCAGCATCCTGCTGTATGTGCAGGCCTTCCAGGTGGGCACACCGCCACCTGGGCGCTGCAGGGGCACCTTGCGCCCCAAAACGCTCCTGCTCACCAGTGCCGAGATCTTCCTCCTGGACGAGGACTTTGTCCACTACCCGCTGCCCGAGTTTGCCAAAGAGCCGCCACAGCGGGACCGGTACCGGCTAGACGATGGCCGCCGCGTCCGGGACTTGGACCGTGTGCTCATGGGCTACCAGCCCTACCCGCAGGCTCTCACCCTAGTCTTTGACGATGTGCAAGGCCACGACCTCATGGGCAACGTCACCCTGGACCACTTTGGGGAGGTACCAGATGGCCTAGCCAGAGCCGGCCAGGGCCGCGAGGTCCAGTGGCAGGTGTTTGTCCCCAGCGCCGAGAGCCGAGAGAAGCTCATCTCGCTCTTGGCCCGCCAGTGGGAGGCCCTGTGCGGCCGGGAGCTGCCTGTTGAGCTCACTGGCTAGCCCAGGGCCCTTCGTGTCCAGCATGGGCGTCCATTCAGTGTGGGGAAGCAGGCTTGCTTTTTTTAAAAAAAATGATTTCTCCTCCTTTTGGTACCTTCACTTGACTGTCCTCCCACAGAATGTGAACATACATGTTCAGTTGATTCTTTCTAGTCCCAGGAGTGACAGTGCCGGCCCCTCCAGGGCCTCCTGTGCCGTCGGCCTCCCGTGGATCTGTGGCCTGCCCCTGGTGGTGCGTGGCAGGCGCAGCAGTGTCCCAGCTTCTGTTGTAGGACTGTTGTGAACACGGGGTGTCGTGAGTCCTCTATTCCCTTACGCGTCTTCTTCTGAAATGTCAAGTCCAGTCTCGTTGATGTTGCTGTTGTCAGGGTTTGCTGCTTATCATTGCGCTGGCAGCAAAGTGCACATTGGAAGTTCCCACCCTGTGCAGTTTTCCTAAGTGAAGGCTGCTTTCTCCTGGTCCAGACGAGCAGGAGAGCCCCGTGCGGGCGGGAGCCCCCAGGCCTTGGGGCTGTGGGATGGGAGCAGGGGACCTGGAGCTGCCAGCGCCGAGTGTGGCTCCTGTTGCCTATTTTCTCTATTCCAATAAAGTAGAGTGTGACACTGTCTGGGTCTTTTATTTCAGAGTCCACTGGGGTTCCAGCAGGGCATTGGCCCAGGACATGCCTGAGGGAGAGAGGGTCCCCTAGAGACACAGGAAGGTGAGGTATTAGGGGAAAGGAAGGAGGGAGGAGAGGCAGAGGGGGTGACGGCAAAGGGAGCAGCTCTCCCGGGGCCAGAGGCTGGGGGGGCAGTGCGAGGGGCCTATGGACAGGGCTATGCTGGGCTGTGGCTAAACCATGAGCCTCAGTTAAGCGAGTGCGGAACCCCCAGGCATGGCTGGCACACAGGCTCACTGCCCTTCTGCCTTCTCCAGGTCTGGGATGTCTCACCTGGCCAACCCCACCAAAGGCTGCAGCCTGTTGTCAGGGTAAGGCCTAGAGTCGGGATTCTTTACTGTGGGGTCTGCAGGGGGCAGGCCTGTGGGGAGCTGGCCCAGGTGGGATCATGGAGAGGAGACCCATGCCCATCTGCGTCTGCTCATGTCCTGAAAGTGGGATCCTCAGGGAGCCTGCTGAGGTAAAACCTAGGACTTCGTTGGGACCCGCCCCTGTGTCCCACCTTAACTCATTTCTACCTACTCCAGAGCAGGGCCCTTAAGCCCACTTGCCTCCCCCCCTCATCCTGGTCCCATCAGAAGCCTCAGTCCCCAAGGTGCAGGGCCATTTGGGGAGGACCAGGGAGGAGATGAGGGAGGAGCGGCCAACCTGGCTCCCAGGCCTGCTTCTGCTCTGTTTTCCTTGGTGCCAGCAGTTGGGGATCCTGGCCTAGCGGACCCATCGCCCTCAAGAAGACTGGGTGTTGGGGGAGCCACTAAAGGGTCTCCCCACTGAACCTCCTCAGCCAGATCACAGACCGGCCAGTGTCCCCACCAGCTGGTAGGGGGAGTGGGAGCCTGCTGAGGATGAGTAGGAGGGGGCAGGGGACAAGGCTTCCCCTAGTCAGGCCATTATCAAAGGCATTTACAGATGGCCACCTGCCTCTTATATCTCAGTCCTCTGTAAACAGGACAGTGATCCCAGAGGCAAGGTGCACCATTCCCAGGTATGGCACACGGAGGCCTCGCCACCTGGGCTACTGTCCCAGGCCCCACAGCCCAACATGTTAACAGCTGACCAGCCTGGCCCAGTGAGGACTTGACCTACTGGGAGAGGCTGTACAGTGTTGGGTGGGCACGCTCTTTGGGCAGCAGTCGTGGGATTTGATCTTTCTTAGACAAGTTACCTAGCCCCCTCTGAGCCTCAGTTTCCCCACCAGTAACAGGGATAATGAAAGTGGCCACCGTCATTCATTCATTCATTCATTCATTCATTCATTCATTCATTCATTTGTGCCGCAAATCTGTATTGAGCTTCTGCTGTGTAACCAATCAGATCCTGTCCCTGTTCTCCCCTAACATCCTAGCAGGGGACAAAAAATGAAATAAACCAGGGTCAGCTTGTGGCCAGTGCTATGAGGAGATGAAGGCTGGTGACCTTTTGGCTAAGACTGGACCTTGAGGTCATTCCCTGAGAGTAGATCTGGAGTGACAGCAGCAAGGCAGCTACGAGGGAGAGCCGCAGAGTTCAGGGAGGCCGGCCTGGCGTGGACAGGTGTGCAGAGCAGGGCTCCTGAGCGGAGAACAGATGGATGAATCGGGAGGCAGAGCAATGCAGAGGCTCTTGGGGGGAGAAGAGAGGGGTAGGGATAAGGCTGGGGCTGGACTAGTCGGAGGGGTAGCTGGGGCAGGTGAGAGGAGGAGCGGTCCACTGTCCACTTGGCACAGAGCCTGGCAGGGTGTCCGAGGCCTGCTCCTGCCCTCGGCAGTTGGAAAGGTTGATGCACATAAACCTGATTCAGGGGCTGAATCCCCCAGGCCCTCTGCAGACGCTTGGGGTGGAGAGTGGTGTGCATTTGCATTTGGATTGTTTCTCAGCCTCTGATAGACCCCAGATTCGTGGCTAATGGTGGACTTGGAGACTCTGGTGCCAGGAGAAGGTCCCGGGGCCAGGAAGCCCCAGCAGGGCCTAGGCCAACCATGCAGGGGTCAGTAGCCAGCACCTTCCCTTCCGCCTGCAGGCTGCTGATAGGCAGGAGGAAATCCTGGCGGGTTCCTGTGGGGGTGAGCTGGCGGGGCCTCGAGGCTGCTTTTAAAGCGAGTGCCCGCCCCCATCCCACTTGCCCGCCCTGTGCCTGCCTCCCAGAGCTCATTCCCCTCCCAGGCTGCCCCAGCTCTGTCCTGGACAGTGTGCCTGCCAGCCACCGCTGTCCATGGCAGGGCCCCGGGGCCTCCTCCTGCTCTGCCTCCTGGCCATCTGCCTAGCAGGCTCCCGCCTCGTCGGGGGGCAGAAGGTGAGTGTGAGCCAGTAGCAGGGGGTTATCCAGGTGCCCAGGCCCTGCTGGCCAGTGGTGGGAGCAGGGAGGGAGTGTACACAGGTCGGACACAGGTCTGGGGACACATGAGCAGCTGGTACATGTCTGGCCTTCCCTGAGCATCTCCTTAGGCTGAGCTCTGTGTATGGCTACTTGGGGTGGCAGCCTGCTCTGCTCTAACGGTGCCCAGCCAGCCTGCCGTGTGGTGTGGTGTGGTGTGGTGTGGTGTGGGCAGCCGTCCCTCGGTCTTCCAAGCCTGAGGGTGAGAGGCACAGAGCCAGGCCTGTCTTCCTGCCCTCCAGCCCGGACTGAGGCCCGGTTTCTGTGTCCCTGGCCTGAAGATTAGAGTTGTGATTTCTAACCCTCGCAGGGCTGACCGAGAGGCACAGATGTGTGTGGGTGCTGGGTATGTGTTATGCATGTGTGTGTTCCTGTCCCAACCCCCAGAGTGCCCGGCGGCAGAATAGGTCTACTGACCTCAGTTTATCTGGGTAAACGGCAGCCAACGATAACACCCTCACGCCTAGGAACTGCCGTTTACTGAGCACACAGCCCTGGCACACCCAGTATTATCCCCTCACCCTCTCCCCGCCCCTAGGCAGCGGGTCCTGTTCTCCACCTGAGGAAGCCAAGGCCCAAGGATGGTGCTCAGGTCAGTCCAGCTCGGCTGTGCCCAGGCCACCACCTGCAATTCCCCGCCCACCCGCAGTGTGGGAGCAGCAGAGGGGTCCTGGTGTGGGGCCCTCAGGCCCATGTGATCCCACCCTCCAGGCTGCCCCTCCGCGGCCCCCCAGGCCCCATAACAGGGACACTGTCCCAACTGGAGTTTCTGGAAGAGCCTTCCATCCTAAGTATGGAGAGAGTCACCAGGCTGGGGCCGACCTCCAGGTGAGGGACCCTCCCCTGCATGGCCAAGTTCATCTGGTCTCAGGGCAGTTGCTTCTGTCCCCGTGTCACTAACAGGCAGACTGAGGTCGGGGGAGAGGAAGGATTTACCAGGATCCCAGTGCCAGGCAGCATCAGGATGGTAACCCAGGCCCCTGCCACCTTTGGGCGTTTTCTCTTGTGCTCCTCGTGGTCCCTCCGGGAAGAGGCAAGCTAATGGACCTCGCCAGGCTCAGGGCCAGGTCAGGGATGGGGATGGGCAGGTCTGAGGCTGGACAGGTGACGGTGATGGTGGAAGAGCTGAGGGTTACAGGCTGTTCCTGCAGGTGGTTTCCTGCTCCCTCCCTGCCTCAATTTCCCATGTGCACAATGCAAGGGGATTTCAGAGCCTTGCTACCTCCTCATGTTCTGGGATCAGGGGTCAGTGAGGGGTTTCAGATGGGACTTTTTCCTTGTTGGAGACCCAGGGCTCTGACCACCTCTGAGCCTGCACGCCGGGGCTGGGGCTCGGCAGCCTGGGCCGGGGAAGAGGGCCCAGGGTTCTTGTTGACAGGGACACAGCATTGCTGGCCTCCTCACACACTGTCAGCCACTCAGCACTCTCAGCATCCTGTGCTGTGTGAGACCCATTAAATAGTAGGAAACTGAGGCTCTGAGGGGAAGTGATGGCCTCTGGGTCACACAGCCAGTGAGGGGTGGGTCAGCCGGGAGAGGCACGGCCGGCTTCCTGGGGGAGGGGGTCTTAGCACCTGTCCCTTCCACAGCCTGTGACCACACACCTCCGTGCTAGGAGTGTGCTGTGGTCCCCAGCGAGGTTTGAAGGCAGAGGGGCATTGATCCAGGCAGGGGAAGCAGGTTGGGGGCCCCTTCCTCTGAGGGACTTCAGTTCTGCGCCCTGGACCCCCGCTTTTTGGGGGAATTTCTTCCATGTTCTCACAATAGACTCAGCACCTCGGGTCCTCAACTTCCCCAGCAGCGTCTCTGTGGGAAGCAGACATTGCAAAATTAGTTCTGGATTTGGGCAGGGAGGGGGACAGCACCCGCCTGGCTCGGGCAGATCCCGAGGTGCCCCAGGAAAAAGGGAATCTGAGTCAGCACTTGGATGTGATCCAGCCTCACTCTGCCCAGCGGGACCAGCAGTGACAGTGAGAGTGGGGGCGGGGGCTGCTCATGCTCCTTCCAGGCCACCTTGCAGGGGGACCCGAGTGCCTGCCTGTGGGGTCCCAGGAGGAGTGTGATTTCCCACAGATTTACAAGTGAGACATCCTGTGATGAGTGTCCACCAGCACACAGGGCTCCGGCCGCCTCCTTTGCCCGAATCCACCTGCCATTTGGGCAGAGAGCGAGGGCCGTGTGTGCTCATTGCCCGGAGCCCCTCTCCAGGGCCGACCAGCGTTCCTCTAAGAGCTGGCCCGAGATGAGCAACCTGGCAGCGGTGCCCAGCGAGCCGTCCAGGTGGCCCTCCGGGAAGCCCGCTGCCTGCTGAGCCTTTGCCCTGAGCCAGCAGCTGCCAAACCCTGGAGTTGCCCAACTTCCTAGCCACTCCCTGGCTCAGCAAAGACCCAGCCTGGGGTGGGGAATGAGACCTTACTCCCGGCCCTGAGGCCGCTCGCAGCAACTTCCCTCTGCAGACCGCAGAGGCTTGAGCGGAAAAGGGCAAATCACAGCGGTGGCAAAAGGCCGTTTCTCTTCTCGCTTTGAGAGGCCACATCCATGATGTGTTCTAGGAAAGAGATGTCCTGCGCTCTTTGGACCAGTGTGGTCAGCAT